AAGAAAGGACTTGTATCGCTGAAGTTCCTCGGGAAAAATTTCTACCGGAAATTAACAAACGACCAGAGACGTAACAATATTATGAGTAATTAATTTTTGCTCTTCTGCGACTTAAGTACAAGTATAGCCGCAAAAAGTATATAATGATATTGTGTTCCCTAGTTAGCTTTAATAGTGCTTTTAGCTTTGCGACAGATTTGTTATTATACATTTATTTTAATACCAATGTTTGTTTAAATTAAATTTATATTTAGAAATGTACATAATGCTAAACATGTACTGCAAAACTCCCGCCTATTCTCTAAAGTTGCAGAAGATTCTCGAGTGTGATCATCAACAAAATATGTGTGTACGTAAACGCTAATGTAGCTTTGTATTATTACGTAATCTGAATTTTCGAGAAACTCTCTACACGCCTATATATATCAATTAACAAACGGAGACGTAACAAATTTTTTCCGTAACTTCGTTCTGACGAAACTTTAACGACACAAGTCTTTACTTAATAAAACTGGTTTATTCTTTCCGAATATAACTTTACGATACACTTAATTTCAATATTCGCGCTAAAACAAACACTATAACGAACGAACGTTAACTTCAACAATACCCTGTGACTGCAGTTCAATTACTCACTGTCTACACACACATTACTGTGTCACGTTGTCCCCCTCTTATATATACCAGCCTACCCCATCTAGTAAATACTAGAGCATTCCTGAAGGAACAAGATAGTTCTAGAAACTAGAGGGCGCCACACCAGTCACGTGACCTCAATGACGCAACAATAGGTTGTCACATAAGGATAGATTAAAATCTCTGAACTTATTTTCTCTTGAAAAAAAAAGAACTAGAGGAGATCCGATTAATATGTTTGAAATTGTTAAGGGAATTGGTAGTGTAGATGCTTCATCTTTTGTCATATTTAATGGTTGGAATGGTAATACTAGGGGATATAAATATAAATCTTAGAAAGGTAGAAGTAATTTCCAGCTAAGACAGCTTTATTTTTCTAACAGGGTGGTTGGTCTTTGGAACATGTTTTCAGATATGCTGTTCATTTAAGACAGGTTAAGGGAAAGTCTAATAAATACTTAATAATAAGGGCTGGCTTAAAGTTTTTAGTGTTTAATGTAATGGATAGGACAGCTTAAATGAACCAAAAGCTCTCTTTGTTGCCCTTTAATGTTATGTTATCTTTAAAATGTCAGTTAACATTGTAGAAGTTTCATAGGGTTAATGATTTCTAATGTGGTATTCTGCTTATTTTTTTTATAATGGAGTAATCAAAATAAAAATTGGAAAATATTAGCAAAATAGGTCTACTTTTATCATAAACAAAGGGTTGAATTTTTTGCTAGAGATCATTTAGAAAAACTTAATTAAAGTTAGCATTTAAGAAGTAATTCACAACGTATTTTTTAGAAATGGGTGTTCTTGCTTATTAATTTTGTTTTAAAAGCTTTTTTTTAAAAATAGACTTTCTTGTCATATGTTAGGAAACTTAGTTTTTATAGTTTGTATATATAGTAAGTAAATATATGGGTGTGTTGGACTAAGGATTCTGCTATAGTAGGTGTCTGTGACTTGTTGGCAATAAATTCAAAAATAAGTGAACAGCACTCACTCCACTTGTTTTCAAAATAATGTATATATTTGGAACTAGTTAAATGTATGTACAACAAGTTCTTTATACTATAGAGATCATAGGCATATCATAAACACTATATATTTCTCTTTTTCTTGTTAAAAGTCCATTTAGGCCTATTCAATTGCTTTAGAATTTCAGTTGACAAGCCAAACTATTTTTTTTTCTGTTACTATTGCCAAACTCTCTGAGTATAGATCATTTACTTTATAGTCGAGTTACCATGGTTTTATCCTATACTTCTAAAATCGTCTGCTCCTTTTTCCCTCTATGTATTTTTGAGAATCGTCTATTTTTTTGTCAAAGTCCACTGAGGTTAGTTCAATTACTTTAGAACTCTCTTTGATGAAATAAACTATTCTTCTTGTCTCTTTCAACAACATTAGTCTCACTCTAATATATCGACCATTAGGCCTTTCACTCCTATGATGATTAACTTTGCGTATAACTTTTCTTTGGCTGAATTCCTTCTCGTAACTTTACTTTACTTCTCATCTGCTCTGTCTTTGTCTGTCTACTTTTCCACTCATCTCACACTATTTATATGTTTATTACTTAATCGATTGCTCATTATATCCATAACATCAATAATTTTCTAGCGATGTTTGATATTCTTGACTCTTACTGAGTTACATAACTAAACTTGTCATAACATTTACTTTAAAAAATTGCTCTAACTCTCTTGTTATGAACAAAACTAAACAATTATAAAATATTCACTCATAAAATAAATGAATCAATAATATCTATACTAAACAGTCTTTTATATCATGACACCAGGAATCTGTTTGTAGGACATTTGTTGTTTATGTACTTGAACAGTAAAGTTATCTCAGTTTCATATTTTTGTGAACTCACAAGGTTTTCAGAACTTCTGATCAGTTGAAATACCTTATTCAACTAACAGAAGTTTCTGTGAAAGGAATAAATCTAAGTTGAGGGCATAAGAGAATATAAGAATATTGATATTGTTATGAGAGGAACAATTACAACAGTTTTATACATGTTCCTTAAAATAACAATTGGGATTTTGTCAAAAAATATTGTCAACAATGAGGATATCCAACTCATGTTTCAGTAAATCCTACTCTACATAAATCTGTTTTTGACATTGTTAGATGAGTACATTAAATAAGATGTGTTATTTAATTGGTTAAGTGTTAGTTCGAATCTATGTACTTAACTTGCTTTGACCAGAAGTTACTGATAAAAAAGATTATACAAGATTATGTAACAATAGCATACAAATATAACTTAGTAAAAAATAAATTTATATAATTTAAACAAATAGAATAAAGGGAAATAACAAATTACTCATAAAATAATTTGGTTAAAAATCACTGCAAAAAATGTAAGTAGTATTGTTATGATGTTACAATTGGGACAGTGTCCTTCATTTCAAGGTCTACTTAAGCAGAGAATAAAATTCAACAGTAGTATAAATGATATAATAATTATCATGAATAAAAAGACCTGAGAATGTTGGGTTGGTAGCATTTGATAAAATGGAACCACTGAGCATTTTGGCATTAAAAGAAATCCTCAAACTAATTTAAATCCTTCAAATATATTGGTTGATATTATTTTTGTTTGATTCTACTCACAAGAAGTGTTATTAACTCTAAAATTGGACATTGATTTACAGAAATTAGTAAATATTTGGGTCATCACAATATTTGGCAAATGAAAAAAGCACAAAATCTGCCTTTCAGTGATAATTTAGTATTTAGAACATTTGGATAATACAACTTTTGCACTTAGTGGTTAAACTTGTGGAGAAAAATATTCATTTGAAAATTAGTTCTTCCTCCCAGTTGTGTTGAGGTTTTGATAAAAGTGCATTCACTTTTGAATAGTAATATATATAAAAATAGAAGACTTGTTTTCAGTGCTAAACTAGTTAATATATATGTCAGATATACATGACTGTTCATTTTTAGTTTAATACAAGAGTATTATTTAATTTATATAGTGCAAATATTAAAAGTAAGTTATTTTTAGAAGTGATATTTATGGCAAATTTGTTTACATAACTGTTTATGAATCATTTTTTGTGTAGTTCAATTGCTGTGAATTGACATCATGTTACTCAAATGTTCTGTTTATTCTGTTTATCTCGTTGCTTAAAGTGAGTATTGCTACTTTATAAGGTCTCATAGTTTGTAGAAAGTTGTAGGCCTCAGTTGGACAATATACACACATATATTTATATATATAGGCAACCAAGTTAGTGCAAGTTAATTCAGTAAAAGTTAAAGTGAAGTTAGACTGTTTGTTAATTTAGCCATAATGGGCAATTTCTAAAGTGAATTTCACAGCTTGTATTGTAATAACAGAGATAGAAAAGAATAATTTGTTCTTGATAACCAATAGTGTGATGATTTTTTGTACATATACATACATTTGACTTGTTTTGAATATATTATTTTAAAACAAGTGGACTGTGTACTGTTTGTTTATTGTTGAAATTTACAGCTAATAAGTCATAGACACTTACTGTATTGAATCACAACCCTATAAAACTTGATAATATACTGAGAGAATATCCAAAAGTTAGGTTTACCATAGGCAAGGTTGGAAGATGTGATGTTTGCATAAAATGTAGATGTTGTGAATGCAATCACAGTGAGGTTCCTGTTGAAATTAAACTGATCATAATAAAAGATTATAAAAAAATGTGATAACTGATCAAAACAGAACAAAAAACTGTGAAGCAGAAGGAATAGTAATATTTTTTGTTCTGATTGTAACCATTTTCTTTGTCTTAGATTGTACAGTAATTGATTAGATCTAAATCAGCAAAAGTCATAAGAAGTAAAAATATAGTCATAAGAAGTAGTTGAAGAACTTTTACTTTTGTTTCTTCTTAGTGTTAGTAGTATTCTAGATATAATGAAAATGTTGAGCAAATGTAGCTTTGCTTTAGAAAGACTTTTCACCAATATCAAAACATTTCGGGAGTTTCATTGCATTTTTTGAAACAAGAGATCAAACCCTGAACTTATGCAATATCTAATATGAAAAACTAGTCTAGCAGATTTTTTCTTAATTACTTAGTGTTGCCACAAAAAACATGGTAATTTCTGTATGGTAGATTCAAAAGTGTAGGGTTAAAAATACATTTAAATGTACATATAGTTGTGTGATTGTCTGCGATTTATTAAGTAAATTGTATTTTTGTGATCATTTTGAATCTTTGTTTCTTTATGTAGAACAAAAGCCACATGTACTTCTCCAAACTACTTCCAGTGCTTATTAAAAGAGAGAAAATGCCATCAACCATCAAGGAGAAGACACCTCTTCATTTCTCAAAGAGTAGACAAGACTTCAGTTCTGTTTTCACTTTTGTTAAAGGCAGAATTTTTTCATCTTTCACTCTTTAAAGAAATATCCAATATTCCTTTAATAATTTTCCATCCCAATTCATGCTGGAACCACCAAAAGTCATGTCCTCTGTCAGACCTGAAGATAGTAGAGTTTTACAAAGACTTTTGAAGATTTCTTTCTTATAACTGTTAACTTTATTATTTAAAGAAATCCTTGTTAATATGCCAGTCTTATTAATATCAAAGTGTATGAAAAATATTTTTTTCTGCAGGTCCCATGGTGGGACAGCTGTAAGTTTACAGAATTACAAAGTTGAATTTTGAGGTTCAGTTCCTTGCAGTGGACACATCAGATAGCACAACGTGGCTTTGCTCTAAAAAACAAACAAACAAACAAATACGTGTGCTGTTTCTATCTAAAACGAAAAGAATGGCTAATGTTAGTTACAGAATTCTGGTAAATTCAGAAGTGTTTGTTTCGTATGGACCAGGTTATACTGCTGTCATTTAAAACCAGGATTGTTAATTTTCTTAAATCACTGGCACTTGCAGTTGAGGAAAACAACAGTAATACAGCAAGCCTAGGTCAAAATACTGTTATAATGCATTTGGTGGTTTAAGCATTTATTTATCATCTTTCTGTTGCCCTCAAAACTTGACAGAAAGTATCTGTAATAAAAAACAACAAATCACTTTGTTTTTTAATTGGGCAGCATTTAATTGCCAGATGCATGTGTGTGTGTGTGTATATATATATATATATATATATATGTGTGTGTAGAGAGATAGATAGATACCATGTCTCATTGTTTTATTTGTTTCCTTGTTTTACTTTAAATTGTGTATTCCAGATATATTGTTTGATAAATTATTATTATTATTATAATTATATATGATAATTATAATTATTATATATGAATAATTTTCTTATTACTAGATTTCCTGAAGTAAAATGTTTCCCAGCTTCCTTAGAAAGAATATAAAAAAGTGACTGACATTATTAAATTTGATTTTGGATCATTTAACTAGAAATGCCTCCTCTATTTGTAGAATAGATGGCTCAGTTGTGTATTGTATACTTGATATGCTAATAAATGTATAAAACTTCACAAAAATCTTCAAACAATATTTATGAATACTAAGGGTCCTGAATATTACAGTAATAGTAATACAAAAGCATTTATACCTCACTAACTAACTAATGTCTTATTGATCAGAGACTTTCAATTAATTTCTCAAAAAAGGCAACTAGAACAGTGAAATTAACAGTTTTCTGGACCAAGTGGTTTATGTCAAAACTGCATAGAAAAACCTGAAAATGTCTACAGTAACTACAGATGTTAGGAATATCAGAATATTAATGAATAATATATTATAAAAACTACCACACCTTAAAAAACGTCATTTAAAACATGGACGTACGTTTTTCTTTTACTTAGCTAAACTAATAAAGTTTCGTGTTACAATCATTAGATTCTTCTAGTCATACAATGTGTTTATGTGAAAAATATATGGAAGTTTGAAGTTTAGTTCATTTCGTTTTAAAATATTTAAATAAATGGAATTGCAAATGATACTTCATTGTTGTACTTAACCCTCCAACTGGTTGTCTTGGTCTGTGCAAAAACTATCATTCTTCACATTTAACTAGAAATCAATCCTAAAATTACCTTCCTGCTGTGGTCTACCTTGGGTGCCCCAGTGGCTGAGCAGTAAGCTGCTACTTCAAAGTAACAATTGAGATGTGATTGTGTGAAAACTACTACAGGAACCTTATGATAGTAAGTGACAAGTTTGTGTTTGTGTGTGTGGACCAGTTCAAAATTAAAATATTGATAAACGTATAACAAAATAACACTATGCAATGTTTTTAAGGTCTGTGTTAGGGAGTAGACCATTCTCTTGGTGCTTAACCCACTGGATCTGCACTTTACTATTTGTGTTAGTGATATTTCATACATTTAAAACCGAAACTGTCAACCCATAACTGATGTCACAGTTACAAAAAGCCACATTAAGCAAAACTACCCACTGCCACTACTTATCTTCACAAGTGTCTTTAAATGTTGAATTTCATACATATGATTCTAAACTATTTGATTGTAAGTACTCATTCCATTTCATTCTCATGCATTAATGGAGTTATTAATTATAGTTACACATAATAATTACACGAGGACAATGTATGGATAAACTATGTACTAGCTCAAAAGTCAATTCTTCACAAACAAGTTTTTATTGGAATATAATGTGCTACATAATAGAATTTCAAATGGTCTGAAACCGAGTTAACTGATACTTTAAATTTAATAGTTAAATTGTACTTTGGATTTAGCAGTTAAGTAAAATCCGATATATAGTCAGTTTATGATATTTGCCAACAAGATTGATACACAGTTTTCTTTTTTAACACAAATACTTTTTAATATACACACACAACAATACAATTTACAATAACAGTTATTACAAACAATGATTTATAAACAAAAGTTTCACAAACTTACAAGCAATATAAAGTCTTCTTTCTAGTCTGGAACTTCTTGGATATCTTAACGGGAAGCTAGCTAGCTTTGTTCTTCATTATATACCAGCCACACACGTCGAGTTTTCCGTGATAAATTTATATAATGTTTTCGTAAAAATACTAATGTCCGATGAGAAGTTAAATGATTTGTAATGTTCGAACTTTGTAAAGGTTCCTGGTCAAATATCTAAAGTTTTTAGATTGATAAGCGTTATAATAATTACAGTTATAGTTTCCAAAGTTTATAGCAAACTAATAATAGATACTCTCTTTTTGGCGCCTCGCGTTGGTTATATTTATAGGCGTGTGGAGGCTTTCTAGAAAATTCAGATTACCTAAAAGTACTGAGCTATATTTAAGCATTTACGTACATGCATATATTGTTAATTCTTACCCTCGAGAATCTTCGACTTTGGAGAATAGGCGGGTGTTCCGCAATACATATTTAACACTATAAGCTATGCATGTTTCTAAGTATAAACTTAATCTAAACAAACATTGATATTAAAATAAATATATAATAACAAATTCGTTACAAATGTAAAATCACAACTGAATCATATGGCTAGTGCAACTAAGCTACCACTGGAACTTTAAATTAAGGTCAGTGTACAATGCTGAACTCGTAGCCATGTTCAAGACATTTTTTATTAAGTTAATGTAATAGTCTTGTAGCATTTTGGTTTCTCTAAGAGAACGTGTATTGAATCTGCATAATAACAGTAGATTAAACAGAAAACGTTTTGTGGGAGTAGTTATGAGTTGTGAAAGAGAAAGTGACTGGATCCAGTAAAATCAGTTTCCATTCAGCATTTGAAGTCTATCGAAATTCACAAGTGAACAAGACAAAAGACAGCATCTATCAATGGATTGTTAACTATCAAAACTCTTGTAAGAACTTAATAATGGGCTTGTGAAGAACTAAATAACTTTAAACTTTATTTGTTAAACTTAGGACTTAAACTTTATTTACTAGACAGAGAGGACATCTGTGAGACACAGAACTAACTGAAAGAGCATAGCATTATATGCAAAATTCTATAATGACATCCTTATAAGGGCATGTGTTACTTGCATCATTGCGTCATTCTAATAAAATAATAAGAAATGAGAGAACCCTAAGGTATCACCTGACCCGCCATTGGAAAAGTGGTGAATGATTCAGAACAATAGCTAACCAAAGTGAAAGGGATTTAATTAGCAGATTCTTTTGCCAATGTTATTTTGTTAAAACTACAAATATTTATATGCAGGAACATTTTGAATAATAAACGGGAATTTTTATGGCTAGACTGTGCATTTAAATGGCATTGACTAGTATATTGTCTTTACCTTTTAAAGTTGAAGAACTTACCATTTTGAGACTGCTTGGAATCTATTTGTATCAGCTGGATGAATGTGTCTGTTCCTGGGGTTTCCTACTTTGTGCAATATATATATGTATGTATGTATCATTGACTTCAATCTACACTCATTATGCTTGAAACTACTCGAGGCTTGAAACTGTTTAATAGGCTCAGAAGCCAGCAACAGAGACAACTTACTCATGTGAACTTTGTTGTTTGTAAGAATTTTAAAGCTCTTACCAACAGTATTGAAGTAAAACGCAACTTATTTTACAAAAAATATATTGTAAAATTCTATAGTAGTTATTAAAACAAATATGATACTATGTTCATTGAAGTTATACGACTTACATTTAAAATTATTGAAAATTTTCATAATGAACTATGGAAAAAGGTTTGATTTGTAGAGTTGGTTAAATAATGGAAAGTTAGCAGTGAAGAATAAGGCGAAATTGTGAAATATGTTTGAAACATAATTCTTACAACAAGGTCCCAACTTTACATGATTCATATAGTAAATTACTGTCTAATCCTGAGGTGGTTAACTGATCAAATATTATTTTCACCCAGTCAAATTAAAATGTTATAATTTACCTGTACTGAAAATGCATTTCGAGTAGGTAGTTACCTCCTTTCACATATATAGCTATTCTCGTTCAGTGCTCTATATGCAAAAAAAAAAAAAAATTACGCAAGACACAAGCCTTTTACCTTACCTCCATTGGAAATGACTGATTCCAATGTGTCTCTCATGAAAATCATCATACCACAATCCTCCACCAATAAGAGAAAACCACACTCTTATTATGTACGTGACTCCCTCTTTTCAATTCTACTTAACATCACTTTGAGTTTTGGAAGAAATTGGAAGCACTGGTATTTAGTGGGGAGGAAGGGTGGGAAATGTGATAGGATGTAAGTATCTATTGGAAATACATTTTCAGTATACGAAAATTATAACTTCCTATATGGTACATTACCTCTTCTCCAAGGCCAGAAATGAAGTTACTCGTCAAAACAAGCGTGCTCTCCTCGCCAAGTACCGGATAAAAATCAAGCATGAAGACAGAAGGCAGGAAGAGCTGAATGAAGCACCAGGGATCAAGGTTGACGAAGAAGGGAAGGAGACAGAAGAAGAAGTAGCAGAAGGGTAGGTTGGAATTGGCTAAGCCATGGAAACCATGGTTGTGCCCGCCATTAAAGAGCAATTAGAAGGACTTTACACGGAGTGGTATGGGTGATCGAAATCACCCAGTGAAGAAGTTGAATAAGAGGATAAACATATAGATACTTCTTGGTCCAATCCTGACTTAAAGCACTGACAGCTAGGACGAGAGGATGAGGGATTGGAGACCAAAATAGAGGTAATTTGTGGTTGAGGGACATGGTAAAGGCATCTATATGAGGAGTACCCCACTGAAGGCAAAGCCACTGGAAAACAAGACTATCTAGAGACTCCACCAGATAGATTTTGTCACACAATGATATCAATGTCTTTTGCATGTGGGCCCC